GTTCAATCCCCCCGCCCAGCGCTGGCGTCGCTCTCCATGGGAGGCTGGGGTGATCTCACCAGTGAGACTGTCCCCTCCCTGCCCCGTGCCCTGTGTCACCGCTGGCTGTCCCATCACGGACACCGATCGCTCTCCCCCCCGGGTGTCTCATCCCTTCCTGTTGCTTACGTTCCCTGCTCCCACGCCCAACCAAATTCACAGCCGTGAAAAACACGTCATGGACGGCGAACTCAGACCTCCCCCATGAAATCGAGCTATTGGAGGGGAGGGAGAGAGGCAGGGCTCCCCGTGCACCGGGCTCCAGCTGCTAGTCCTGGGATGGGACATGGCCGTTCTCAGGGGGAGATGAGACCCACCTCCGGGTACCTCCCCCGGCTGCAGGAAGCTCCGCGGCTGTGCAGAATGAGGGTGGCAATCCTGCGACCCCCCTACAACAGCTTTGCGACCCCCCCCCACGACCTCCTCTTGGGTCAGGACCCCCACGGTTACAACACCATGAAATTTCAGATGTAAACCTCTGAAAATGTGAAATTGACTCATTTAAAAACCCTCTGGCTGTGAAATGGACCGAAATGGACCCTGAGTTTGGTAGGGCCCCAGCTGTCTCCATCCCCGCCCCCTAGGATGTGCCCATCGTCACTCCCCTGCCCCCAGCTGGGGCTCACCACTCCTGCCAAGCCAGCGTCCCCCTGAGCTGGGCCCCCTCACCTGAGGAACTCCAGGTCGTCCCAGCCGTTGTGGATCAGCCCCTCCTCGTACCTCTCCAGCCCGAGGGCCAGGAGCCACTCGCCCACGCTGCACTCGCTCAGGCTGGAGCTGCTCCTCCCTCCCTGGCCCAGCGCCTACGCAGAGCAGATTGGCACAGTGCATCAGGCACCCCGGGGTTCCAGCTGCCCTCCCTCCCCTGGGACCCTCCTGTGCCGAGCACGGGGGCTAGTGCAATGGCTTAGTGCCTGCTCCGGGCACGGGGAAATCCGACTAACCCAGGGCCTGGTTCCAGCACCTTCCATCCCAGGACCCCAGTCACTTTGGACTGATGAATTCATTCCCCCCGGGGGGTTGGGTAGTATCCGCAGGCCCATTCTCCAGATGGGAAAACTGAGGCCCAGAGCAGGCAGTGAGTCAGTGGCAGAGCTGGGAGGAGAACTCAGTTCCCCTGACTCCCGGGGACAGGAGACGTCGATTCCAGGGCTGCTGAGAACCCTCGGCCTTCGGCCATTTAACCCTGGGGCCTCTTAGCCAGAGGAGCTTGGCAGAGCCTGCCCCTGTGTGCATGGGGCTGTGGGATCCCAGAGGGAGGGCACAGGGAGCCCGGATCTCATAGGGCCTGTGACAAGCTCCTGCATGTACCTCCTCAGCCAGGTCCTCCTCGATGCTCTCCCGGATGGAGCGGGGTGGGAAGGTGATGGGCCGGCTGTAGTCGGGGTGCATGCACCTGGGGGGCAGGTCCAGCCGTCCTTTGCTGAGCAGATGTGGGGCCGGCCGGCCCTGCTGCTCCCGCCCCAGGCCGCTGCCCCCTTTGCTGCCCGGATAATCCACCTCGCTCAGGGTCTTGGCCATCTGCAGCACCGAGCAGGAGCGATCGTCCAGGAGGCCTCCCTGGGCCTGGGAGGCGCTGGGGGGCTCCACCAGGAAGCCAGGTCCGGGGGGGAGGGGAGGCCTGGGGTGTAGCTTGGGCGGGGCCAGCTTGGACTCCAAGGGGTCGCTGAAGGCCACGGAAGCCCACGGCTTGGCGGTGCCGGGTTCCTCCCTGCCAGCTGCCCCACCCAGGTCCTTGGCGCTGGCGTAGAGAGGGTTTTCGGCCACCTCAAACTCCACGGCCTTGGGCAGGGGCGGGGGAGGGAAGTCGGGGGGCGGCAGGTTGAGCGTGCCCGTGTCCTCGTCTGAGGAGCTCTCCTCGCCCCGGCCCGGGAGCGGCTGGCGGCGCCACTCCGGCTGCACGGGCACCGTGATCTGCACTTTGTTCTTGGGGGCCAGCCCCTTGGAGGGGGTGGGGGGTCCGCGGCCAGCAGCTGATGTGGGACCCCCTCCAGCACGTAGTAGGCCGGGTTATTGAAGCTGTTCTTCGTGGGGCCGCCGTCGGGCTCCGAGGCCGAGTCCTGCTTGGACCTGAGGGCACAGGACGGGATGGTCACCCCCAGGCACAGGCCAAGGGGCAGGGAGGAGGAGAGGCTGGTCCATGCAGCCTGCAGGCTCTTCGGAGCAGGAACTGTCTCTCGTTATGGGGTACGCACAGGGCTCGGGCCTCCCTCTCAGCTGAACCCCGGCTCTGGAGGGTCCTCTACCCCAGGCATCTCTCCCTGATGGGACAGTCCCCGGCAGCCCCTTGAGACGTCACCGCCGAGGCACTTAGGTCCCCAACCTTGGGGCTCCCCGACCCTTCTCCCTCGGGGGAACGTCCTGCCAGCTCTCCGGTGAGAGGCTGCGTTGTTCTAGCTCACGGTGGTACCAAGGGGGCTGGGGGCCCAGTTTGCCCTTCACTGACCTGGTCTGAGAGGTCTCCTCCCTGGAGGTGCCGCGGAGCGGGGCTGGCAGGCGGCTGGCAGTCAGGGCGCTGGGCTTCTCCGGCTCGTCAAACAGCTTCCCGAGGGGGCAGGCTGCCGTCTCCCCTGGCAGGGGCTTCCGTCCAGCGGATCTAGCGGAGAGGGGGAAGACTATCTGTCAGTGGAGGCAGGGCCCGTCCATACCCTCCCGGCTGGAAGCTCCCCGGTTCTCCGCAGGGCTCCCATGATCATGCCCCTCTCCCCCTCCCGGGGATACCAGGAAAGCGAGGCCGAGCGCCCGTGTCCTTCCCCTGCAGCCAGCGCTCCAAGACTGGCCCCTGCACTGCGGTGCTGCTTCAGCCGCCGTGAGGCAGGGCTGAGCCTGAGGGGGGACACCTTCAGGGAGGAGAGGCCCAACCCACCTGGGTGCTAGCACCAAGCCTAGTGAGGTGCAGGCCCAACTCCAGGGCTACAAAGGTGCCACGCAGCCCATCCCCTCGGGCCCAGGCCGGCTTGTAACCTACGGTCTATTCGCCAGCGCTTCAGACATCACCGGTGATCAAACCCCCGCAGGACTTCCTCAGCGGTGCACAGCCAGCACTAAGCCAGCGGGTTGCACCGATACCTTGCTGCCCCTTCACGCCAAACCTTCCAGCCCCAGACAACCCTGTCTGCTCCTAGGAAGCTTCTTCAGCCACAGCCCTGCCCCAAAAGCCACCCCCCACTGCTTGCTGATCTCCCCTGACCCCAGGCCAGGATCCTCCTGCCAGGGAGAGACCAGGCCAGTGCAGAGGGTCACTGACCTTCCCCCTGAGTGACAGGGCTGACCAGACAGACACCCCCCTGGGGTATCCCGCCCCACCAGCCCACCTCACCCCCAACCAACCTGGCTTCTTCCCAGAGTGTCATTGCCACACCCGAACCCACCCCAGCCCACCCTTACTTGGCGTGCTCCTGGCTGGCCCGGGAGACCGGCGGCAGCTTCCCCTTGGCAGCTCCCGTTTCATCCTTGTCGATGCTGATCCATTCTGCGGGCGGGAGAGACGCACACGCTCAGCGGCGGAGCAGGCCCCTCTTAGCTCACTCGGGGCCTTGCCCAGGGCTGCTCCCTTTGGGCATCTGGGCTTGGCTGGCTCGATGCAGGCCCAGGCCATGAGGATCCCACCCCCTGCCCCTTGGAGGGCTCCTTCTACCCACCTGGCACCATCTCGCTGGCTCCCCAGCTCTGGGGGTGAGTGGGAAACTCAGCCCACAGAGTCCTTGTCTCTCGGGCACCCCCAGCGGTGGAGAGATGGAGCCACCCCCAGCCACTCACTAGATCAGAGGTGGGTGAACTACGGCCCGCTCCTGGCCCAGGAGGCTCGCCCCCGGCCCATCCCCTGCTGTTCCCCCTCCCCTGCAGCCTCAGTGCACTGCGCTGGCGCAATGCTCTGGGTGGTGGGGCTGCGAGCTCTCGCCAGGCCGCGGCTCCACCCCGGTGCTCTGTGCTGCGCGGTGGCATGGCTGGCGTGGCTGGCTCCTGCTGGGCAGCGCGGCTGCCCGTCCTGCTGCTCTGGGCAGCGCGGCTGCAGTGCCACCAGTCACCGGTGCTCCAGGCAGCGCGGTAAGGGGGCAGGGAGCAGGGGTTGGGTTGGAAAGACGGCAGGGGAGTTCGGGGGTGGTGGTCAAGGGGCGGGGGTGTGGATAGGGTTGGGGTGGTCAGAGGGCGGGGAACAGGGGGTTTGAATGTGGGCAGGGATCCCGGGGGGGCAGTCAGAAAGTAGAGGGGGGTTTGGATTTGGCGGCGGGGAGCAGTCGGGGCAGGGGTTCCTGGGGGTGGTCAGGGAGAAGGGGTGGTTGGATGGGGCAGGGGTCCCGGGGGGGGGGAGGGCTGTCAGGGGACAGGAAACAGGGGGGTTGGATGGGGGGTGGGGAGCCAGGCCATGCCTGACTGTTCGGGGAGGCACAGCCTCCCCTAACCCACCCTCCATACAATTTTGGAAACTCGATGTGGTCCTCAGGCCAAAAAGTTTGCTTGCCCCTGCACTAGATGGTACTACCTTCCCCACGGCTGCCAGCCTGGCCTGGATTCAAACCCTGAGCCATGCAATAGCAGCGGCCTGGCTCCAGCCTGCGTCTCTGCTTAACTGGGGAACAACATCCCAGCTTCTTCTAGGCAAATCCCCTCCCTGGCTGCCGGCTAATGGCTCCATCAGACCTGCGGCAGTCGGGCTGTGCGTTCCCACGGGGTGTAACCCCTTGGAGCCCTGGGTGCCTGGCAGGCAGCCCCTGAAAGGCGGAAAGCCTCCCCCACACACACACTCACCGTAGAGCCTCTCCCGGGTGCTCATCCGCTCGGCCGGGACCCGGACCTTCATGGAGCCACGGATGTTACCCGTCTCCTCCCCGCGGTGGGACAGGTAGGTGAGGAACTGCTGGGTGGTGCTGCCGATCATGGACTTCAGGGCGATCACGCACTCGCCTGGAGGACGGGCGGGAGAAGAGGCGTCGGCGGGACAGCCAGAAGGCAGGCACCAGTCCAGGTTAACCGGGGAGGGGGGAGGGAAGAGGTGCCCATGGCACTGCCCTGCCCTCCCCTCCCCTCCGTCCCCAGCAATGTGACCCCAAAGGAGAGTGGTGGAGGGAGAGACAGGTGTGGGACTCCGCCTGCGAGAGCCGCTCCGCGAGTGCATGTGAGAGCCGCGCCCCTAGAGCAAGAGGCAGGTGGGGTGAGCAGCTGGGGCTCTGGACTGGGATGCTAAAGACCTGAGTTGGATTCCTAGCTCGGGAACACGCTCCCTGGCTGACCCTGGGCAAGTCACTTTAGAGCTCAGCTGGGAAAGGAACAGAACGATGCTTTCCCCACTGCCAAGGGGCCACGTGGGGCTATGGAGCAGGGTGGGGAGCTCGGATACCACAGTGCGGAGAGGGGCCTAGACAGGAGGTGTTGCATTATATACCAAGAATATCTACACTTGTTCTGAGGCCCAGAAGGAGGTGGGAGACAGACCAGAAAGTCTCCAGATAAAAATAAAAGGGCAGGGAGAAATAGGGGTGACATCATGGTAGCCCACCAAAGGAGGAGGTGTTTCTACTACAAATAACAGAGCTATCCAGAATGCAAGCCCCAGTAACAATGGGGGGGCTTTAACTGTGCAGCCATCCGATGGAAAAGGCAACCCGCAAACTTTGCAGTAAGTTCTCGGGCTGTAGTAGGGACGACTCGTTTCCGAAAGAGGAGGACGTAACCAGGGGGAAAGCCATTTTAGACTTCATTCTGAAAGACGCGGGCGTAGGGAGGAGGGTTTTAGGTTTATGAGGGAAAGGAGGAGCCTATACAGAAAGGATGGACTCCACTAAACCAAAATGGAACCAGATTGCTGGGTGTGTAAACTTAAAAAGGTTGTAGAGGAGTTTTTAAGCTAAGGGCGGAGGGAAAGCCAACAGGTGCTGAGCACACGGTTCAGGACAGAGACATCCCTTAAAACCCACTTTGTCAGATGAAGCCCACTAGGGGGAGGGATAGCTCAGTGGTTTGAGCATTGGCCTGTTAAATCCAGGGTTGTGAGTTCAATCCCTCAGGGGGCCACTTAGGGAGCGGGGGCAAAATCGGTATTTGGGCCTTGTAGTGAAGGCAGGGGGCTGGACTCAATGACAGTTCAAGGTCCCTTCCAGCTCTAGGAGATAGGATATCTCCATTAATTTATTTCATTTATTTTTTATTTAACGGGGATTTTCTATATCCTCATAAAGAGGAGAGGATCAAAGTTGATAAAGTACAGGTAGGAACTGAAGAGAAACAGTCAAACGAAAAAGAGTCCCAGTCAGTTACATCACATGAAGGCAGACAGCCAAACATGGAGAAATGTTATAAGAGCTTGTCTACAAATGCAAGAAGTCTCAGTACTAAGATGGGTGAACTCGAGTGGGTGGTATTAAATGAGGATGTTGATAAGAATGGCCCTACTGGGTCAGACCAAAGGTCTGTTATGGACTCTGTTATGGTCTTGGCCTTCACAACATCCTCTGGCAAGGAGTTCCACAGGCTGACTGTGTGTTGTGTGAAGAAATACTTCCTTTAGTTTGTTTTAAACCTGCTGCCGATTAATTTCATTTGGTGACCCCTAGTTCTTGTGTTATGAGAAGTAGTAAACAACACTTCCTTATCTACTTTCTCTACACCAGTCATGATTTTATAGACTTCAATCATATCTCCCCTTAGCTGTCTCTTTTCCAAGCTGAAAAGTCCCAGTCTTATTAATCTCTCCTCACATCCTCATTCTACCAAGTTTCTGTGATGCCTGTTACATTCAAATTGGAATTGGAAAAGGTTCAGAAAAGGGCAACAAAAATGATGAGGGGTATGGAACGGCTTCCGTATGAGAAGAGATTAATAAGACTGGGACTTTTGAACTTGGAATAGAGACAACTAAGGGGAGATATGATTGAAGTCTATAAAATCATGACGGGCATGGAGAAGGTAGATAAGGAAGTGTTATTTACTCCTTCTCATAACACAAGAACCAGGGGTCACCTGATGAAATTAATTGGTAGCAGGTTAAAAACAAACAAAAGGAAATATTTCTTCACACAGTCAACCTGTGGAACTCCTTGCCAGAGGATGTTGTGAAGGCCAAGACTATAACAGGGTTCAAAAAAGAACTAGATACATTCATGGAGGATAGGTCCATCAATGGCTATTGGCCAGGATGGGCAGGGATGGTGTCCCTAGCCTCTGTTTGCCAGAAGCTGGGACTGGACGACAGGAGATGGATCACTTGATGATGACCTGTTCTGTTCATTCCCTCTGGGGCACCTGGCATTGGCCACTGTCGGTAGACAGGACACTGGGCTAGATGCACCTTTGGTCTGACCCAGTCTGGCCATTCTTATGTTTCTAGGTCATAGCCCACAGGAGTTGGTGATAGAGCTGGGAACAGACCTCACCTAGGGCAGCCAGGACTAGAACCCTAACCCAGGACTCCTCCCTCTGAGCCAAAGGAGAATGCCAGGCGCTATAGTAGATCCCTCCCTTACCCACTCTGTGACCCGGCCACTGGAGGGTGACATTACTCCCATGCCGCACTTCCCCTCCTGCTCCTTACCGTAGGATTCGTAGCCATCGACGGACTTGACCGTGAGCAGCAGGTGCTGGTCCTGGAGATACTCGATCTCGGACAGAATCGGCTTCAGCTGCAGCCGGGGGGAATCCATGGAGAATGGACATTTACTCAGAGCAAGGAGGCCAACACGCTGCATGTGGCAGCTATAGGGCACGGCAGAGCAAGGTGCAGTAATACAGGGATCTCGCTCCCCCTGCCGATCGAACCCACTGCCCGCTTTCTCCCACCTGGACAGGGAGGCGGTGTGGTCTAATGCATACAGCACTGGCTTGGGAGACCTGTGTCCTATTCCCGGCCCCGCCACTGGCCTGCTGGGTGACCCTGGGCAAGTCACGCCCCTGATCTCTGCCTCAGTTTCCCCATAATGATACTGACCCGCTTTGTAAAGATTTAGGGATTGTTACTACCAATAACAAGGTGGTGTCTCCTCTGCACAGAGGGGGTGGCAGGGTGATTGGCTGGGGGAGGGGGTGAGTTCTCACCGTGGGCAGCTGCCTCGAGGACCACTGAACTTTCAGGAAGTTGATGTTGTCACTGCTCTGCATGTCGTTCTCGGAGCTCTTCTTGAACTCTGGGGGTGAGGAAGTAGCAGGCTCGGGTTAGGCACACCCCCCCCCCCGGTGTTCAGACACAGTGGAGCAGTCCCACGTACACCTCCCCACCCTGCCCCCATCTAGCCAGAATGGAACTGTCCTAGGACTAAGTTGACCCCATGTGGGGACAGCCAGCTCCCCCCTCTTCCCCCCCGCTCCGCAGGCTTGAGCTAAAGGAGAATCTCCACTAGCACAAGGAGAATTAGGACTTTTACATCCTGTGCCGGCGGCAGCCGCTGGCAGGCCATGGGTTCACACACAGCAGATGCGGGAGAGGATCCTGTCTACACTAGCCAGTGGGCTACACGGTGTGTGTGAAGGCAGGCAAGGGGAGGGGGCAGGCACGCACCTTCCAGGCAGGTGGAGTAGAACTCGATAAAGAACTTGGTCCGGCTGGCCGTCTTCACGATAGCTTCGATGCTCTCAAACTCAATGTAGGCCTGGTCTGAGACCTTGGAGAGCCCTGGGAGCAGAGTATAATAATAGTAGAACACCTCCCTAGCTCTTACCTAGCACTTCTCATCCCTAGATCTCCAAGCGCTGTACAAAGGAGGGTAGGGTTGTTATTCCCATTTTACAGAGGGGGAAACTGAGGCACGGGGCAGGAAAGTGACTTGCCCAAGGTCGCCCGGCAAGCCAATGGCAGAGCTGGGGACAGAACCAAGGTCTGCTGAGTCCCGGTCCAGCGTTCCAACCATGAGGCCGGACTGTGGAGAGGGCCAGTGCTGCCCCAAGAAGACAGGACCCACAGGTTCATATGAGGGACAAGGAAGACGCCCCTGGCTCGGTTTTTATCACAGCTGGTATCAAGCATGGAGAGCTACCAGGTCTGCTGGGCCCCAAGCAAGTTCATTTATCTTCTGGTTTGGGTGATGGAGCAAAGGGTGCTCCGGAACTGCCACAGGGCACAGCTGAGGGGAGGACAGGAGAGCAGAGCTGAAAGGAGGCATGGACCTAGGGTGGCATTGCCTTCTCCTGGGGCAGTAAGACAGGATCATGCTGGGGTCTGGCAATCCTGAGGTGGTGAGGCCTGGGGGTGGTGAGGTTGGGAGGACTCCCAAGGCTGAGTAGCTGGCACCCAGGTGGAAGGCCGGGCCGCTCTGCAGTGTGGTGGGAAGGAGATTAAAGTTCATCTAGGTATGGCCCCAGAATAATAGGAATACTTTGCCTCGGTTTTCACTACCAAGGATCAGAGCATGTGGACAAAGGCAGGATGGAAATGAGTGTCTAGAAATGGTAATTATCACAGCTGTGGTGGAAGAAAAACTTAATGAGCTCAAATCAGGCGGGGGGCAGATAGTTTCTATCCCAGGATCCTGAAAGAACTGGCACATGAGACTGCTAGTCCGGCAGGAAGGGGTTTTTAATGCATCTAGCTATTTGGGGTAGCGCTGTATGACTGGAGAATAGCTAACATCCCTGGATGTAAGAAAGGGGAAAAAAGTGACCCGGGCAGTTACGGACCTGTTAGACCGCAGCAGCATTCCAGGAGTTAGACTGGATTGTGAAGGAAAATAATTAAATTCAGAGAGGTAACTGGCAAAGGAGATGTAATGCAACGTGAGTTTACCAAAGGTAGATCGTAGATTTCAACTACCTGAAAGGGGGTTCCAAAGAGGATGGATCTAGACTGTTCTCAGTGGTACCAGATGACAGAACAAGGAGTAATGGTCTCAAGTTGCAGTGCGGGAGGTCTAGGTTGGATATTAGGAAAAACTTTTTCACTAGGAGGGTGGTGAAGCACTGGAATGGGTTACCTAGGAGGTGGTGGAGTCTCCTTCCTTAGAGGTTTTTAAGGCCCGGCTTGACAAAGCCCTGGCTGGGATGATTTAGTTGGGGTTGGTCCTGCTTTGAGCAGGGGGTTGGACTAGATACCTCCTGAGGTCCCTTCCAACCTGATATTCTATGATTCTATGATCGTGCCAGCCCAACCAGATTTCCTTCTTTGAGCAAAGAATGGATGCTTTAGACAAGGGAGGTGCAGCAGATCTAGTAGACTCGGTCTTCAATGAGGCATCTGACACGGTATCACTAGGAAATGGTTAGGGATAGGTGCAAGACTTGTCAGGTGGGTAAGGAACTGGCTAAAGGGAGAAGCCGGCGGGTTGCGCTGAAAGGTGACTATCGGACAGGAGGGAGGTTCCTAGCAGTCTTGGGACCAATCTCATTCAATGTGTTTCTTAAGGACCTGGACACTAAAAGCAGGAGCAGGCTGATGAAGTGTGCTGATGACCCGAAGTTAGAAGGCAGCGTCAGTACAGAGGCGAATTGGAACATAGGAGGATCTGATGACCTGGAAGGCTGGAGTGACAGAAATGGGATGAAATTCAGTAGTCCGGAGTTCAAGGTCACGTGCTTCGGGTTAAGTACGAATTTCTGCTCCAAGCTGGGGGCTCATCGGCTGGATGCGACAGAGGAGCAGAGACCTGGGGGGCGGGTCGGGACTGGGAGCCACCGGGGTGATGCAGCTGTGAAAAAGGCAAACGGGCTCCTAGGATGCGTTAGCAGAGCGAGAGAGAAGTATTAATGCCATTGCACAAGGCACTGGTGAGACCGTATCAGGAATCCCAGTGCAGTTCTGCTCCCCCGTGTTCAGGAGAGAGGAATTCAAACTGGGACAGGTGCAGAGAAGAGCTGTGAGGATGATCAGGGCAGTGGAGGGCCTGTCTTACGGGAGGCGACTGGAAGAGCTTGGCTGGTTTAGCCTGGCAGCAAGAAGGGGAGAGGGAATCGGATTGCTCTATGAATACACCGGGGGGGAGACGAGCTCTGGAAGCTACAGGACAGTGCTGGCACAAGAACAAACGGAAACTAACCACGAACAAACTCAGGCAGGAAATTTCTAACCATCAATAGGAGCTGTGGGGGCAAACAAGTGAGTTAGACAAATGGACGAGTGGAATTGCATGACAGGATTGCTTGTGACGGGGGGGGGGGGGGGAACACGGCTCGGCAGCCCTGGGGCTCGCTTCCGGTCTATGGCTTACCTTCCCAAAGCTCATGCTTCAGGGTTTCAACCACCCACCAGCAGGGGTCAGGAAGGGATTTCCCCCTCCCCAGTGTATTCTGGGAGGGTTTTTTTATCTCCTTCCTCTGAGGCATGAGGGATGGTCACGGCTGGAGATGGGACATAGGATGGGGTGGGCCAGGGCTCTGAGGTGGCCCCGAGCACTGTCTCTCTCGGCTGCGGGGTTAGCACGCGGGGGCTGGGTGGGCTGGTGGCCTGCAGTAGACAGACGGTCACACCGGATGCTCTAGCAGTCCCTTCCGGATTTAAACGCTACAACTCTGCGACATCCGTGTCCCCACGGAGGCTCAGTAACAAGTCAGGGCCAAGGGCAGGCGGAGAGCCGCTTGGCCATTGCTAGCCGGTAGCCACCCAGCCCAGCGCAGGGCAGGCACACGCCCGCCTTCCCCCCATACCTTTCTTGGAGACAAACTGGGATGTCACTCCGACTTCGAAGGCTCCGAAGACAGGGGAGTGGTCGCTGGTCGTGATGTCGTCAGTGCATCCTACCAACAAGCAGGCTCCACTGGTGAGCTAGCCAGGGGACCTGGGGCCGGGCGCTGGCTCAGCAGAGGCAGGGAGTCCGACTGGCAGCTGATCAGGCCCAAGGGGAAGGCATGTCCCTCTCTAGGGGTGGAGTGCCCCAGGGCTGGGATCACCGGTGGGGCAGCCGAGAAGGAGCTGGGCACTGCTGGAGCCCCCTTGCCCGGCCCTTCACTGGGCGTCCATACACACCTCAGAAACATCGCCAGGGAGAGAACTACGTTTCCCTCATACCAGAAATCAGTGGGGAATTCTGATAGCCCAGGGGACCAGGCCTCTCTGCCCACCTGCCACCCCACTTCCTCTCACTGCCCTGCCAACGTGCACACCCCAGGCTCCCCACAGCCTCTTCAGCTCCTGGCCCCGCCCCACTGAGGCTGCTCACAAGGATGGGGGGGCGCTCGGCTAACGGTGATGAGACCACTGTCCCGGGGACAGAGCCCACCTCCCCTGTGAGAACCGGACTGAGACCCGCAACTCGCAGGCCTCTGCGACTAGACCGGTTTGGGCTGGATTTGAACCGGGGACCTAGCAGGGAGAGACTGCAGAGCTTGTTCCCAGTCCGGTCCCCACCTTGTCTACCCCACGCCCTCGGGAGGGCTTTCCTCTAGAGCCCCCCAGGACGAGCCCCAGCCCCGCAGGGCCTTGCCCCGCTGCACTGCAGGAGGCAGCGCCCGCGAGGTCTGGGCCAGCAGGGCCCTGGCAGGGAACCTGGGCGATGGCTGGGAGGCTGGGCTGTCCCTCTGCCCCTCTCACCATCCCCCCAAGGGTGTTGTGCGGCTCGAGGGGGTGTGAGGGGAACGGGCTTCTGGGGTTGAGTGGAGAGAGGGTGTCCCAGGCCCTCCAGGATTAGCTCCAAGGAACAGCCAGCGCTGCGGGCACAGCCAGGGGAGCGCCTGGCACTGGGTCCCTGGTCACCTCCGTGCAGACGCGCCGGCCACGGGCTCCTCCGCACGCCGGCAGCAGCGAGGCGAGAACGCGGGGCCTGCTGCTCCACAGGCCCGGGCCTCTCCCATCGGAGACACTCCACTCGGGCAGCCCGGTGGAGGGCCACCCTGGCCGGCCGCCTGAGGGCGAGCAGGTGTGACTCCAGCCGGCATCGCGTGCTGCTGACGCCCCCCACTCACCGTAGGAGTTGCAGTTGATGTGGGTCTCGGGGTACGACTTCCACAGGATGCGGTCACACCAGGAGGGGACGTTGGTGCGGACCTGGGCAGGGGGCACAGGACATTGGGGTGAGGTATTGCCTGGCAGCGCCCTCCCCCCGCCCACAGCCTGGCAGGGCCCCTGGCGCTAGCCTCTCATTGGCCCACAGGGTCCAGAGAGCCAGCCACGGGAACCGGCTAGCCCTCCCCAGCCCCCCAAATGGTCCTCCCCAGCTTCCCTTCCCCCCCACCCCCAGCACCTACCCCAGTGGGCTTCTGCTTGTGCCACACGTAGGTGTCGCGGGAGCCCCGCTCGTAGCGGTAGGTCGGGGGGAAGGTGATCTCCTCCTCGCCTGCAGAGACACAGCGTGAGGAGAAACAGCCTGCGCTCGGCCACCCTCAGCATCCCCAGCAGCCATGGGGCGACAGTCCACACCCCGGACCCCAGGCCCAGCAGTGCTGATCCCCGTAGGGGAGACACCCCCCCCAGCAGGGAAGGGGAGACCCCCCACAGCTCCCCCCACCCCAGCAGGGAAGGGGCAGAGCCAGTGGGTGAAGCAGACGCCCGCCCCGCCCGCAGCAGAGCCGCCCTCACCGAATCGCAGGAAGACCTTGTGCTTCTCCTTCTCCAGGTTGAGCTGATCCACCTTGAGCAGCGGCTCGAACTCCTTGCGGTTGATGTAGTTGAGGATCTCCTGGAGGAGGCAGGGCCGAGCGGGCAGGTTGGAGTGGGGAGGACGGGTCACACAGCCCCCACAACCCGGGGGCCTGCACTCCCCTCCCCTCAGGCCTGCCCTCCTCCTTTCCTCCCCCCAATGGGCCTGTGCCCCTCACCCCTCACTTGTCTGTCCTCCCCACGCTGCATCTCTCTCCTTCCAGGCCCACGCCCCCTCCCCACAGGCCCGCGCCCCCCTCACCTGGATGTCCATGTCCAGGCGGTAGTTGAGGTCCCCGAACCAGAAGAGATGGGTGAAGCGGAGCGAGATGTCGAAGGAGCTGAGCTGCTTGTCGCCCAGGGACAGCAAGCGCAGGATGTCCAGGTAGTTCTGGTTCCGCCTGGCGGAGAGGGGAGCGGTGGGCAGGCAGAGAGGAGGCAAGGGAGGGGACACAGATCAGAATCTCCGTGGGAACGTAAACCCAAGGCCTCGACCGCTCCTCGTTACTGAAGATCCCCAGGCGCTTCCCACAAGAGCAGCGGGTTTGCCTGGGTGCCCTAATTCAAGTGCCGTCACTGTCCAGTTCAACCACCGCCGTGCTCCGCCCCAGAGGCAGACGCGCTGACCCGTTGCATGGGGCTTGTTACGTGTGTAACCGCCCTCTGGGATCCATCGGGATGGTACAGATGACTGATGGTGGTGGGTTGGGGGCGGGGTTAATATTCTCAGGGCTTCTACCAAAGAGAAGGCATGTGGAGAATGAATGCCCTCCCCAGGCTAAGAGTGCCAGGCCTGACAGAGAGACGGAGGGGGGGGGGGGCAGGAGATGGTGGACGGTTTTCCTCATTTGGCCGTCGACCCACCAGCCGCATTTACTGCTTAGCTTGGGAACGTCGGTGCTTCCAGAGCCCATCCAGCGGGACCGGAGCGCGCGTGCTAACAGCGACAATCGCCGCGTGCTGCGATGTGGCCCCAAGGAGCAGGGTGTGGGACAGTGCATGGAAACACGCCGGGACGAGGGTGAGCGCAAACGTGTCTGAGTGTACGCAAGTGTGCAAGGCTGAGCCCAACTGTGTCTAAGAAAGCGAGAAGGAGCATGCGAAGGCCAGGGTGAGCCAGGGTGCCCCAGGGTGAGCGTGCGAGCGGACGAACCTGTTCAAACCGGCGCATGCGTGTGTGGCAAGTGTGCCCCAAACTGAGTGTGGGAGTGCAAGTGGCTGCATGCAAACACTAGTGCGCCAGAGCGAGCGGGAGTATGTCAGAGCGAGCAGGAGCGTGGCCGGGGGTAGGTGTGAGTGTACCCAGAGCGAGCGTGTCCAGGAGAGAGCAAGCCACGTCTGTAAGCGAGAAGGAGTGTCAGCATGTCCCAGAGCAGGCTCGGCTCTCTCTGGCGGTGCAAGGCGACTCCCCCTGTGCCCGGCTCTCCTGCCTCTCCATGGAGACCAAAGCATTGCCCGCCCAGAGTCATCGGCCATGTTCGTGTGCTGCCCACAGCCAGCGGCAGGAGTTACCAGCAGCTCCCCTCTCAGCCCAGCTGGCAAGACCAGGGGGCCAGTCCCTCCACCCTCAGGGCTAGGTGACGGGCTCCCGCTCTGCCAGGGGCTGCCCTGCTCCGCGCCCCACACTGACCTGGCCGTCTTCTCGTTGCCTGAGGTCAGATGGCAATTCACAAAGCCGAAAGAGGTGCCATTAAACATGAAGGAGACTCCCACGGCCCCTTTATTGCCTGCAAAACAAAGAGGGAGAGGGGGCGAACCTCACTGAGGCCAGGCCGGGGCTCGGTTCCCAGGCCTGCTCCGGGCACCGATGGCCTGTCGCACAGTGGCCAAAGCCGGCGCCGGCAGCGTGGAGTGAGCAGAAAAAACACAAAGCCAGTAGGGTGGGTGGCGGGAGGAGAGAGTCCCAGCTGGCTAAGAGCTGCACCAGATCCCTGGATCCTAGCCTTCCCTGGCATCGGGGATAGTCAGACCCGGAGCTGGCCCAGCTTCTCTCCAGCTGTAACGGACCTCGTGAGCCCCCTCCGCCAGGATCCAGGTGCTGCCCGCGTTATCGTTCGGCTGCCCTGGGGCACTGTCTGCACCGCCTTAGATGGCAGAGCCAGCCCTGAACCCAGCCAAGGGAGGAGAAGCACATGCAGAGAGGCAGGCCCTGGGGTCATTTTAAAGCAGGGCAAATAACCAGGACCTCCCGAGCTAAAGGACTGTGGCATCACAGAACAGTCTGTGCCCTTGTGCCGGAGGTCGTGCCAGGCCAGGGCTCCTCTCACGCCAGAGCAGAGGGAACGTCTGAGCCAACCAGGGTGGATTAAAAAAAAAAATCAATGATTTAAAAATAAATTAATAAAAAACTGTTTTAATGTTTAAATTAAATTCAGGTTTACTTTTAAAAGAGAAACCGGTTTAACATTCAAATGGAAATTGACTACCTATGTTAAGGCCTTAATTTGTTATCATCTATTAAGATCATTTAAATTAACTACAGAAAGTAATATTAAGTAGTATGTGTTTGCAAGACAGTCAGACCACTGAAAGTCACCAGCTAAGCACCTGGCCCCAGGGTTTGTTGAAGGGCTAAACTTTGACACCAGTAGCCTCTTCTACAGCTGCAACGAGAATATATTTTTCATTTCAGTTTATTCAACTCGTTCAGTTCAATGACTAATTCATTCATAGTGCAGCTATCAATTAGGAGCTGAAAAAGCAGGAAAGCTTGGTTTCCTCTCCCAATCTATGAACAAAAACAAGGTGTGAGAGGATGAAATCTACTAGCTCTAAAATCCTGAAGGATATGGTGACCAGAAACAATCAGCTAAATTCACTAACTACAACTCAACTTCCGGTGGGTAATACGTCACTTAGTTTTAAAGGCAAAACATATTTTGATAAACTATTTTTCCTGATATCTCCAGCCCATTTATGGTAATTTTATTTAATGTAAAAAGCGGCTTTTGTGCATTTTAAATTGAATTTGGATTTCCATCCAAAAAGAGCTTGGCACATATCACAAGTAAAAAAATCCATCATCGAGTGAATAATAAATGTGTCATTCACCATTTTCTAACATAATGAAAAAGGTAAAAATTAAGCATCTGAATAAACATAAGTCAAGCTCTCTAGTGCTTAAATCAGTGGGTATAGATGTAGTATATCCTCTTGCTTAGCAAAAAGATGCACCATGTTTAGGGTAAAGGCTAGATTTCGCTGCAATCAACACGTTTTAATGTTTGCCAGCCAAGGAGACTCAACCTTTCTTTAGGGGAGTAACTAAAAAGTACTAATGCAAAATATGATTAAAACTGATTATTTAAATCAGGGGTCTCAAACTCAATTTACCTTAGGGTCAGTGTCAGTCTTCAAATCCTCGCAGCCGGCCAATAATGTCACTCATACTGCCTAGAACCCGCCCCCCAACTCTGCCCCCCACCTGCCTAAGGCTCCGGGAGGGAGTTTAGGTGGGGGAGGAGGTCTGGGGTAGGGGATTGGGGAGTAGGCTCTGGGATGGAGTTTGGGTGCTGGGTGCCGGCTCTGGGCTTGGGCAGGGGGTGCAGGAAGAGGGGGTGAGGTCGCAGGTTCTGGGACGGAGGAGGGGTGAGTGGTACAGGCTCTGGAAGGGAGTTTGGGGTCTGGGGGGAGGGGTGCAGGCTCTGGGAGGGAGTTTGGGGGCGGGAGGAGGTATGTGAGGAGGGGGTCGGGGGGTGCGGCACTTACTTGGAGCTCCAAGGCAGGCTGGGCTGGGGGACCTCAGCACGCTGCTGCCCCCAGACACCGCCCCCATAGCTTCCCATTGGCTGCAGGGGTGTTCGGGGCGGGGGCAGCGCGGGGAGGCACAGCCCTGCCCCGGGGCCGCAGGGAGGGGCCGGCAGACATGTGGAGCGAGCAGGCAGACGCTGCTCAGCTCCGCTGCGCTGCCGGTGGTCGGTGGGGCCCCGGGCCATTGTAAATAGCCCGGGGGAGTGCCAGGGGTGGGAGTGCTCAGGGGTGGCAAGCGGGGCCAAGGGAGAGACCCGGCCCCAAAATTGCTGGAGCCCCATGGGGCACATTGGGGAGGTTCCCAGGGCCGTAGATGGCCCGCGGGCCGGGAGTTTGAGACTCCTGATTTAAATCACGGTTTCCTGCTTGTTGATTTAGCTCAACATTACAACTGATGCTTTAAATCAATCCACCTTGGTGGTAACTTGCCCCAACCCTGTGCTGGACAGGAGGAAGAGAAATTTGGTCTCCGGGGCCCATTTGGCCATTGACCTCTCTGCTGCGGACACCTGACCGCTCCGGAATTGGCGCGAGACCCACCAAGGCGCTTCACAAAGGCCAGTGAAGAGGCACAGACAGTCACAATTAGTGCCCCAGGCTGGATCAGGATGGCCAACTGCATCTGAAAGGCCCTGCGCTGTATCCCAATCCTCTGAGCCATCCAGTCCCCTCTTCCACTGTCCCACTCTCAAACCCCAGACCTAACCCGCGCCCCCAGAGTCAGAAAATGCTAATTTTGGATGCCAGCCCCACTGGAGCCTGTGGGGCCAGGACATACAGACACAGTGCAAAGAATCCATGTGCACTGACACAACTGCTGTATAAATCACTCACAGGCAGAGAGTGACAGGGACTAAAACCGTGACCGGCTACCCCAAGACCAAAGGAAACTAC